CTTCGAAGACATTGCATTTAAACGAGAACTGTTGTCCCTAACTGTGCACTGCATCAACAAGAAAAATGGCTGTGAGTGGAAACACGAACTGAGACAACTAGAGGTAAGAGCAATTTTAAATCATCAATCCAACTACGTAAATCATCCAACGTGTGTGTTTTGATTATGAAAAAAACCCAGACAGAATACACTGTGTCGTGTATAGTATAATATAGTGAAACGACATTGCTGTCATCCGAACTTATCGTAAAGTTAACTTGGTTTTAACATAATTTTATCTCGCAGTTGTAGCGATATATCTCACATTTACACATGTAATTACTCAGGATTATCCTTTCATTTTATTGTTTAGTCGTTGCGATATTAATGTGCTGCGCTTTTGATCATTTTATGTAAAAAGGCGCAACATAAATAAATAAAATAATAATCATAATAATAATAATAACTAGAGCACTCGGAGAGCGCAGACCTCCGCCAAGGCAGCTGAATTCTCTCACTGTGAAAAATTTAATTAATTAATTAATTAAATAATTAATTGGATTCGGATCACCACCAAAATGTAATTAATTCTAAGTTACCCCATTTCTGACCTATCCTGAAAATTTTATTAATTAATTGTATCCAGATCACCACCAAAATGTAATCAATTATAAGTTACCCCATTTCTGACCTATCCTAAAAATTTAATTAATTAATTAATTAATTGGATCCAGATCACCACTCAAATCTCATCAATTCTAAGTTAGCTAATTTCTGACCTATCCTGAAAATTTTATGACAATCCGTCCATAACTTTTTCAGTTAGGCTGTACACAAACAAACCCACAAACCAACAAACACACGCCGGTGAAAACATAACCTCCTGTCAACCCCTTGGCGGAGGTAATCACTGTGAAACAGCGTGCTGTTTGTATTGCGTGGTATGTGGTAGCATCCTAACGCAAAATCCTATTGTAGTTCGCAATGCGAAAGTTCTATGCAAGTGTAGCAGACTTCTCAACCGATAGCACTACGCCTCGAAGTCACGCATGGCTTGGTTACCGAATTGTGCCTTAGCAGCAGCGGAGATGCGGCAGAGCGTTTAAAACTCGACCAGGCGGGTGAAGGACCTCAGTGATAGACCCGCGTTTATGGCGCGCGGGTGCGTTTTAAGCATTGGCGCCCTATATGCATGCTGCTGTTTCTAACATTTCCGTGAATTTTCTCAGAAAATGGTTACGAGGATACAGAACGTCGCGTCCTTCTGTAAGTATGAACGCCGTATATGAGTAGTATATAGCTAACCTGCTGGACGCAACAATTCTGCGTTTCTATTCGTGGAATGCACGGATTGTCCCGTTGTACGTGTAAATGGTGCTCAAACACAATCGGGACTAGTTTACCGTACTGTATACCGTGTTTCTATCGAGTTAGATTCGAATTCGATGTTTATAGCAGGCATCACACGATTACATTGCTACCAAGGATTTAACTGATTTAACTGACTCCACCCCTCACCAAGGTGTGGGGTGGATAGAAGGGCAGGAAGACTAGGTCTTGTGTACGCCACCATCTAAAACAACTTGGCCACCTGTCCTTTGAAAATGTTAATGGACTCTGCATTTACTGCCTCTTTTGTTAGACCATTCCAGTGCTTGAAGACCCGTACACTAAAAAAATATTGTCATTCATCCAACCTAGAATGTGGAGTAAACAATTTGAAATTATGGCCCCTTGTATTATTGTAATCAGACATGGTAAAAAAAGTTGTTGAATCTACTTCTCCATGTGTCTGTTCTCAAGATCAGCTGTGTAATCGTTCGATATAACGATGATACCTGCTCGTTGTCAGAAACATCGCAAAATTAAGGCTAATGGTAACGCTGTGATAAATAATGTTACGAGAAGGTCTAGGATCTCGTAATGTTAAGCGGGCCACGAGTCAAAGTTAATGTTAATATTAATGTGAAGACTAATTTTGTTTCTGACCACGTCCCCCACCATTTCCGAATTAATTTGGTCGTTAGTTTTATGCAATCGTGGCTATAAGTTGAACGAACATGGAGAGCTCACATCAAAAATCGAATTACTTGTATTCCTCTAATAGTTCCCAAGTCTCCAAGGTTTACCAGGGAAAAACTGTCATATATATACGTGTTATCACTGGCGGGGGGATAATTAATACGTAGAGTCATAATTAATACGCATATTTATTGTAGTAATTAAAATACTCATTCTGGAAATACATCTGAAACATTTATTTAGCCACCGTGTATCAGTTATGTTCACTGTGTTTACCCCGTTTACAGGTAGAGGAGTTTTCTACGCGAGCGTCGCAGCATATATTGTGCTGTACAGCTTCGAAGGTAGCGATGACGGCGGCCCGACGTCCGCTCTGCGACACCGTCTGCTGCAGCACATCTCGCGCAATGCTAGCTTCCTGACGGCGTCGCTGCAGGGCAGGCTCGGAAATCAGATGTTCGTCTACGCGTCGCTGTACGGCATCGCCCGACGTACCGGCCTCGAACCCGTCGTCGCCGCCGACAGCGAGCTCGGTCACGTGTTTCGCCACCTGGCGGCTATGAGCATGCCGAGAACGCTTCTGGAAGGCTTCGACGTGGTGGTGCGCGACGACGCATGCTGCATCTATCGCTCGCAGCTTCTGCGGCTCCCCGCCGGACACGTCAAGATCGCCTCCTACCTGCAAGCGCATCGCTATTTCGCCGACTACGCGAGCGAGATTCGCGACCAGTTCAGATTCGACGAGGCGACGACGGCGCGAGCGACGGCTGCGCTGTTGTCGGCGCTGCATTCGATTGGAGAGACACCTGGCAGCGGAAACCCGCGCGTCGGCGTGCACATACGACGCGGCGACTACGTCAAAGTGTCGAAGGTCACCGGACAGAAGATGCCGCCGGTCAGCTACATCAGGAAGGCGATGTACCACTTCCGGCATCGATTTCCGTCGGCAGCATTCGTTATCGTCACTGACGATCACGTGTGGGCGCTGGAAAACGTCGGCGGAAGTGACGTCGCCGTCATCAGCTCGCCCGAACCAGAAGTGGACATGTGCGTGCTCGCCCTGTGCGATCACGTGATCATCACAACGGGAACGTTCGGCTGGTGGGCAGCATGGCTGGCGGGCGGCGACGTCGTGTACTATGCCGACGTCGCTACGGAAGGTTCATTGTACGCCCGCCAGTTCAGCAGCGACGACTATTTCCCGCCTTCGTGGATCGGCATGACGTGATCTTATATATATATATAATATATATATATACCTAGCTCCGTTGTTAACGCAGCTAGGTCGGCGCGCTACAGTTTCGCAATTCGAATGCGTACACACGACAGACAATACGCGACCAGCGTGGTGCCGAATATACGCGGCTTAGTTGGTGCGGAATATGATTCCGCGCTAAGCAAGCCGCGTATTTAAGTACGGTATACTGAATAAGCCGCGTATATTTTAGCGTGTGAACGCTCAAATACGGAACTGAAATCCTCGTGTGAACGCAGCTTATATGCGTATACACGTGCGTGTATGGTTGGCCATCGTACTCGAAATAATCATTTTTACCCCGGTTAAATTATAGACCTTTTACTCAATCAGAGGCCTTAATTGTTACACATAATTTAACCACGGATGAATTATTTTTACGGCGGTTAAATTATGTGCAACAATGCCTCTGATGGGGTAAAAAGGTCGCGGTTAAATTATTTCTACCGCAGTAAAAAATAATGATGTTTGAGTAGCCTACAGCGGTCAACCATATGCGTGCGTGCGTGCGTCCCTGTTATATGTGTGTGTGTGTCTATACAGAGATATAAGTAAATAAGTAATAAAATAAATATGAGGCCTAAGTGATATCATAAGTAATATAATAAACCACACCTGGAGAGTGCAATTTCACGTATATTCATAATTTTTATTTCTGTTTCGGTCGTAAATTGAGTGCCGTTCTAGAAATTTGATTCAAAACTGTACCATCATACGCGTTTGCTTAGCTCTAGTACAGGCCTGTGGCAACGAGGGCTATAGTATTAGAGCTAGCGTATGCGCTACAATCTCCAACACAGCTATGAACGCAGCTATAATATTATCAGGAGTACATAATAGAGATGTTATCGATGTACAGAGTAGAGATCGAGATCTATTCTCTATTATGTACTCTTGATATTATCGTCATTATCATATGTGAGGCACTAACGCCAAGCGATTTCAACGTAGTGAATGAACAGTTAACACGTTTACTAGAATGGCAGTTCTACTCCGCATAGCAGGCGATAGCCTAGAATGGCCCTAGATTAACCGGGGTGATGGGTTGGGGTCGATAGCCTCGTTCACACGAGACCTCGTATTTATGAAATACCGAATCGGAGACAAATACGGGGCCGAGCGTTCACACGCTGATTCGCGGCTCCAGAAATGCCGTATTTGCGAGCTGCGAGTAACCTGTATAGTACCAGTCGTCATGTTACGCTTGGCTGCGCTCGCTACACTGACTCTGGTGAGTAGGCCCTAGCGGTCGTTACGAGCAGGAGCGGTAATCATTAACGTTAAGCTGCGTTTAAACAATCAAGCGAACAATGAAATGCGCACCAACTTCCGATAAAATACGTAGACTGGTCCGCGCTCGACAGTTCCACTCGCGTTACACTGGAACTGTCAAGCGCGGACCAGTCTATAAAATACGCGGCTTCAGAAATACGGTATTTAGCGTTCACACGTAACGTTAATGATTACCGCTCCTGATCGTAACGGCCGCTAGAGGGCCTACTCACTAGAAGTAAAGCCGGCGGCAGTGTAGCACTGATCTCTACTATACTAATTATACTAATTATAACTGTTATTATACTAATTATACTGTTAGTATAGTAGAGATCAGTGCAGTGTAGCCGTGCGGAACATAACGACTGGATTATATCGTTTAGTTCACACGAGGAAATGCGCGGTCCAAGAGATCCGGTATTTCTCAAGCACGGCAAATTATTCGGGGTCTGGGAAGCCGCGTATTTACATCAAATACCGGATCTGTTTAGATACCGTATTTCTTGGACCGCGCATTTTGCCTCGTGTGAACGCTAAATACCGAATTTCTTGCTACATGTGAACGCGGCTGATGATGGTTACGGTAGTAGTGTAGGGTGTCACTCATGCACGCACCTGACCGGCACACTGTGCCATTGTTTGTATGAGTGCAACGTGCGTCCCGAGGACGGCAAATAATAACAGGTATACAGGGCCGTAGGCTGAACAAATACCCAAGGGAGGCAGTGGCGGCTCCATGATTGCAATGAGGGGTGTGAGAAACAGGTAGGGGGTCTGAGGGTACATTGTGAAAATGTAGATGGCATAAGATGGTATTTGACGCACTTTTGAGTACATGTACAGCCTTCATTCCGACTACGACAATTCTCTTTTAGTAGAACAACTTGTTTTTTTATAACCCTTTTGCTTCACAATCTAGGGGTGCAGCTGCCCCCCCACCGCAGGCTACGGCCCTGATATACACCCGGTACATGCCCCGTATAGTCTGTGAAATTTGTACATAAAATTCTACTTCAAACTAGTCCGGGTCAGCCCCGGACATGACGTTTTGGTCTTAATGGAGCGTTAGCCGAGGTTCACAGTAAACGGGCGATTGAACACGGGCGTAATAATCATGACCTATGCGAGGTTATATGCAGGTTATGTCATCATGGTTCTGTTCATGATTCTGTTCTATTCGTTATGATTATCTCATTATATTCAGGTTATGTCATTTTACCTATACAAGGTTATATGCAGGTTCTTAAAAAAACGTTTACCAATGACGTTTTATTGACAGTCATTTAACGTTTTTGGAAAGGTTCCAAATTTGGATAAACAAAAATGTAGGTAACAAACGTTTCTTGCTGTAATAACGCAATTATATTGTGAGGAAATGGTTAATTACTTAAGTTAACAACAAATATTTTACTAACCACATACACGCGGGCGCGCACGGGTACGTGAGCATGCACGCACACGGTGTGTGTGTGTGTGTGTGTGTGTGTGACACACACACACACACAC